GAAGTTTATATATAAATGTTAAAATAAAATAAATAAAAGTATAAATACATACATAACATCTTTAGGATGATAATCCATCACAGTATTTCTTAAATAAAATCTTTTGGCAAAAGTTATAGCTGTGGCCTATATATATATACATAATATAAAAAAGTTAATAAATAAATGTATAAATAAGTACAAATAGATTGTCAAATCTTCATCATTACCTTTACTTTATCAGTAAATTTATTATTACATATTTCTTCTGAAAATTGCTTTGGTACAAAAAATATTTGGTGTTGGAAAAAATCACATAAAGCAATTTCATCTTCCAATGTTAAAAAATCAGTTTCTGATGGTGGTGATAAACTGGGTGAATTGACTCTCTCCTGCTCTAAATTTGTAGTCTCCAATGCTTGTTTTCTTAATTCCTATATTAATAATTATGATGATTATGACTATAAGCACTCACTATAAAAATAAAAATAATGATCATTATATTATACAATGCTTATATATATAATAATGATTATATATTTTTACCAATTCTTCTGCCAATTTTTTTTTTACTTTTTCGACAGATGACGCATGATTTTTTTCGCGTGTTTCTTGAAGTTTAGATTTGGAAAAACACCAGTTACGAAACTGTGATGATTGTTCATAAAGTTGTTTTTTCATTTTATTTTATTTATATTCCTGTTAAAATTACTTGTGTTTTACTACAATGATCAACATAATTAAATTATATGTCAGCAAGAGGGTTATCATAATTGAGGTATTTTGTGGCGCAGATCTTCATAATATTAGTAAAATTCCAGGATTCTTTCATTATCATTCTCATTACATGCATACATCTTGAAGATTCCTTTTTGATTATTGATTACTGTTAACTTTTAAAAAGATCAAGTTTATTTAAAGAAGCCATACTATTATTTATGAGTTTATATAGGATAGTTTCAAACGGAACTTGATTTCTTAGTTATTGTATTACATAATACAGCCAAATCTTGTCACAACGGACTACATATATAAACTCGATAAGTAGGTCATGTGGGGTGAGCTCATATTACCGACTTATCGAGTAAACCGACTTGTCGAATTGAATTACTTAAATATTAAGAAAGAGGGTGAAAATTTTGGCGAGACCGACTTATCGAGTTTACATATGTACTATAATTATAATTAAATTCTTGTCACAACAGATTTATAAAATTTTTGCTTCACATATTAATATTAATATAAAACATATAAAAATCCGTTGGCAAGATTACTAATTATAATTATAATCTCGATACAACGGATTTTGAATAAAATTTTCTTATTATTATGTGTTTCGTTCATCCTCTGTGACTGTATAAAGCTTTCATGATTATACAATTTTCTTTTTGGGAAACGATCAGTCATAACTTTGAAAAAATTTTCGTTCATCAGTTAGAAAAATTAGGAATCATAAAAGTATTGAAGACAATGGTTCAAGTCTTTTTGAGTTAAGTGTGAAATAAAAAAATCACATGAATTACTAGCGTGAATAAAAAACATAAATAAACGAATTGATAAACTATCACCATCTGGCAAAGTTTCGATTGTAAAATTGAAATAACTAAAAGATAAGTAAATAGAGACAGGACACCAAGGAGTCAAAGCTCTTCATGAGAGCAATCGATGTTATCAGATATACTACCATGAGTTTTGAAACAAGCATCTCCTTGAGGCAAACCACGAACCTTTTGCTTCTGAAGCTGTCTTAAGGATACAAATGATCCCAATATTGGTCCGTTGAGTCTGTACCATAGAAAATTATTGGTGTATTTGATACACCATCACATTATATAAAGTCGTCATTAACAGCTATTTGTTGATGGTATCATTCTCTATCCAAGTTCTACACGTCATTCCGGTACAAAATACAGTGTTCACTAATCTACGGGGGATGACAATGGTAAGGGCGGAGGGGATATGAGATGTTTCATGGTGGGCATGTAAAGGTGTTACTGATTGGGTAAGTTGGGTTATTATTTTAAGACTTTGCATTTTCTCAGTATGTAATGACAAAAGAGCATACTTTTTTTTTGTTTGATCTGTTGAATATATAGAAAATTTGTCTGCGTGAACAAAACATAAAGTAGTGATGTTAGCCGTTTAAAAATCCTTAGCTGGCTAAGCCGTTTACTACCTAAATTGGTAATTTTATTTCTATAACAAGAAAGTAACACAGAAATCTATTACTAAATTTAGAAATTATGCATGCAGATTATTAGCCGACTAACATCACTATATATATACGTATACTGTATATTTAATTATGTTGCCCAAAGTTTTAATTATAAATTACAAATACTAATTCAAGTTTAGTCGAATTTGTTTTTTAACATTAACAACATTTATTATAAATTTTCCCTGAGATACATTTTTTATAACATTTTGATTTATAATTTAGATTTAATAATAAAAATAAAAAAAAATTATAAATTTTTTTAAAGAATATTGCAAGGTTTCTCTTTTTCTGTCATATAATTTTTTACTTTTGCATTTATAAATTCTTGCAAGTTTTTTGGCATATAAACTTCTGTGCAAGTACTCAAGTAACTTAATAATTTTTTTCTTGATTCTTCTCGGATCTCTTCTGCGACTTGCTTAGTACGAGGTGTTATTGGCGGATTATCTACATGAATGACCGTTTTGCATGATTCAACGAATTGAGAAAGTTTATCATTTCCTTTAATCATCTCTTGATAATCCTTTTCACACTCATCATCGTCTTCAAACTCAGCAAAATGTGTTTTAATGATAGTAGTATATTTAAAAACATCTTCATCAAAAATTAATGATTTTAATGTTTCAAAAATTTCAATTTCCGGATCAGAAAATATTCCCATTGTAATAAATAGAATTTGATTTATCCCGAATTTAATGGTTTCAGCAGCCTCAAGCAACTTACTTAATATTTCTTTTGGTTCCGTTCTAGGGTTTCCAATTCCTATAGTATCAACGATTCTGTATATTTTCTCGTCAATTAGAAAACTGCGAGTATTGGTATCTTTACTTGAACAAATAACATTATGACTTTCATCAAAATTTTTAGAACCACTGATTACACTTGCCAAGGTTGATTTTCCGTTTCCCGCACTTCCAACTAACATTACTGTTATGATCTCAACCTCTTTGCCATTTTTATTATCTCTATCGTTGTCATTCATATTTAATGATGAAACTTTGTCCGATATTTTCATTATTTATTGTTGTTAAACATCATCAAAGTCACTTATTTATATATATCGTTAAAATTTCAAATTTCAAATTAATAAACATAATCATATTGTTTAAAACCTGTTCAGTTCCGATTTAATCGCAATCTAATTTAAATATGAAATGTCAAGGTTTTCCCCTTTATATAGTAGGAGAAAAATAAACAATTTTAATAATTATTCACAATATTAAATGTTATTACTAAATACCTGACGCCTAAATGCAAAATAATTAAATTTGGTTAGATATAATATTAATATATATATATATATATTATAGACGAAAAAAATTTTTTTTTCCTAGTCTTTAAAGAGAGAAAAAAGTACACTATTTTTAGAAGATTTATGTGGGAAGCATTTATTATTATACCGAACGTTTGCAAGTTTCTATATTTTTTTATTAGCCTCAGGAAGTCTAACCCATTAAAACACATCACGTCAGAAAGAAATCAAATCTTACCATTTCTAAAGTCTAATGTTGCCTCCTTTCCTTGTATAAAATTTTACCACAAATTTGCATGATGAAATATTTACCAATTTACACTCTACTAATTTTAAGCTCGGATTGTGCATTAAAAGTGCCTCGAGTTTCTTGATTGATAATATCAACTACGTTTACGGAATCGGCTAATTATGATTCCATAAAGCAATTGATTTGTCAGATTTCTGACAATTACTTTTCAAATGGTCCTGATTGAATTTTCGTTGACAATAAGTCTGGTTTCGTATCCTTGTCTGTCATGATTTTTAATTTCTTCCTTGATGTTTTACAAAAAGGTACTTAAAACAATCCCTGGTTAATTTTACGATTTTTAATCAATTCTGTGATCCGAAACCTAAGTTTAAGGAAAAAATAAACCCAAACTCATACTAAAAATATAATTCTTATCAAAACATGATTCTTGCCACCAATATAAATAATTTGCTACTTTAGAATTGAATTAAAAAAAATCAAACAAATTTTGCAGACCATCAACCTGCAAAAATTTAGATCCAGTAGGCTCTTTTCCCGATACTATTTCGAATTCAAAAGAGTGTCGGGTCATTTATATCATTTTTTTTTTTTTGATTATATTATGAAAAATTGTTTTCGCCTAATGCATATGATATCATGGCATCGGTAAAAAGTGTATAGATGAAACACGTTAACGTTTTTCTGTAAGCGGGTTCAATGTGTAATTGATGGCCATTACCTTAAATGAATTTGGTTCGGAGATGTCCACCGAAAACCCTTTTTCGGTAGTACCGAGACCGAAAGTACTTTTGAACATTCACAAGTTTGAAACCCAAACCGAAATTCAAAACCTAAACCGAAAGTCAAACTATGAATATATTTGACTAAAAATCGCTCAATTCTTTTTTGACTATCTCAAAAATATTACCAAAATCATTATCAAATTTTATAATTAATCATAGTTTTTTTTTCTTTTTTCTAAATTCAACCCTTTTTTTTCTATAATTATTTGCGCTGTATGTGAAGACATCAGATGCTGCGCATATTGCCTTAACGTTGATCTTTCCCGATTAAGAAATCATAAAATATTTAATTTAAAATAGCCTTTTATCACTGTGAATTAAATTATATAAAAAGTTTTTGGGAGCAGCTAAAGGATAAGCAAGAAAAATTGTGTAATTATTCATTTAAAGAATTAGAAAGAACTGTTCCTCTGGCATTGAACTCGGTTTCACTTTGTAAAATTGGAAAGTTTGTTAGAAGATGTTATAGATTTATGAGTGCTTTATAGATCAGGACTTTGGGAAAAGCTGCAATATTTCCAGCAAAAAAATAAAAATTAGAAAAAATCGTTTGATACACCACGTGATAAAAATTGATCTATGTTCGTTTTCTGATTGGTCAAATTAGTTTGATCGGCGTGCCGAAATTTTTAAATAATAATAATAATAAAGTTAATTCCCATAATTTTTCTTTTACTAAAAAATCTCTTTATTACATTGTTGCTAATGTTCAAAAGATTGCAAAAATAGAGAGTTTCTTCTGGGCCAACAAATATTTCCAAAGTTACCAAGGTTTAAAGATTTGCACTTTTTTTGATGTCTTTAGATAAGGCGCGCCATATTAATCTTATCATTAGCTGGTTTCTTTTCGGTTTAGTTTTTATCATCCGCATCATTATCATCATAACCATAACTACTATATATATCTTTTGTCTCATAATCATTTGTTCTATTTTCGCAATATTCATAATCATTTGTATCTCCACAAGTCGCAGGTTAATTTTGGTATTAATATTAGTCATTTCTGTATCAGGAAGTCTTCCTTGAATTGCTTTTCTATTAGGTAGTGTGTAGGCAGACCTAATTTGTTCAAGTAATTCAATAAAATATAACACTAAAAGGTATATCACACATTACAAATGTCTTGATTAATGTTCTATTAATATTATCATTCCTTTCCGTGGTTAATGTTATGCTTTTGTAGAATTCAGACAAACTTGATTGTTCTTGTTCACTAGAAGAAATTTGATTGCTTTCTTTTTTTTTTAACAGTTTTTATTTGCTTTTTTACAATGATATTCAAATAGTATTTTACGAATTGCTCTATTGCAACCATCACATTCCTTTGCCAGATGTTTTCAAATTTCCATTGTAACCTACAATGGCGACGCCTTTCAGAATAATGTCCTTTGCTATTTTTAACCCCACTTCCTTTCACAAAGTGTATCCACATATTTGAAGAAGGTCGTCCAATAATTCATGAAAATAATTCCTCTCGTGGAACTTCTTTTACACTATTAATATATGTGTACCATTGTCAATAAAAAATAAAATGGATTTGTTATAAATTTTCTTAGATTATATACATATAATCTGTACAATTAATTAATTATCTAATATTTAAAAAATTGTACTATATACAGTATGTTTTCGGTTGAGATTTTGACTTTGGTTTTTGAACTGAAATTTACCGAGTGTTTCGATATCTTGACATAGTTTCGGTGGACATCCCTAATTTGGTTTTAATATACCATTACTCTCGATCCTCGATCTTTTTATCCTTGCTCTAAAAAATTTATCAAAGTAAGAATTTCAAAGCAGTGCAAAAGAAACATACCATCTCGTAATTTCTGACCAAAATATTTTGTTAACAAGCCCACGTGATTGGGCTATCAAGACATTTGCTAGACATCTGATAAAAAAATTTGCTTGCAAACATATCTGTTACAAAGTGATTGTGACAATAACTCCAAACCGACACGACAAATTAGTTTAAACTGAATTCATTCCAAGAAACTAGCAATCGAATATACTCACCTACCTTCCATTTCTTTAATAATGGGAAAAAAATTTACAGTGGTATTTTTTTGTAACAATTAGTGTAAGTATTTATCAGATATATCTCCTATGCTTCTTGATATGAATATGACCTTTGTATTCAGTGTTTGTACAGAGACAGATAACCTTGTATTATGCAAAAAAGAACTTACCCATTTAATCTGATAAATTTTTTTTTAGATTATGCTTTAATATTTTGTCGTGGCATAATATTTGTTAATATTTTTAGTCATCGCCATAACTCCAAAAACGGAGAAGTCAACGCACTCCACATACAAGAAAAAGTTCAATGTCGAATATCTTTAATTGATGATCTATCTACGAATGAGTAATGTATAAACATAATAATAATAATAATCAATTGCATCGGGAAAATAAATCTTTAATTCATGCAAAGTTCTTCTAAAGTCTTATTTATTTTTATTTTTCTAGTGCTGTTGATCTCTTTTCTTTTTGTTCAGTATGAATTATTTATAACATCATACACCATATATTCAATAACACAATAACTGATTTTTTATTATTTTTTTTTGTATAAAAGGCATAAAGCTTCTTTTTCATATAGTAAGTAGTTAAAAAATTATTTGAATAAATATATAATTATAATACCATATTCGATACATTTCATTTATATATAACGATTTTATAGGTTTCATTGAACTTTTACTTTTTTTTTTGTATATAAAGCTTCTTCTTTGATATAGCTAAAAAATTATTTGAATAAATCTAATAATAACATATATTCCATATTTATTTTTTATGTAAATATTTGTACTTATAACGGGCTTCATTGAATTATTAAAATTTTTTGTATAAAAAATATTCCAACTTCTATAGTTCACTCTAATGGATCTTTCTATAATAGAACTTGCCCTATAACAGACTGAGAATTTAAGCCCAGTTTATATGTCCCATATTAATATAATAATAACAGATTCTCTCTATAACTTGGCCAAATAGTCTGTTTTTACTATCATCATTTATTATTATTATTATTATTATACAACCATTAAAGAAATATTCGAATCCATAGTTACCTCTTTTTTTGTTATATAAATGAAAAAAATTATATGTATATAATTTTATTCTATCTATAATAATACATTTTTTTCCAACAAAGGTAATAGCAGTTTTTCCTCCGCCAATCATTATATAACATTCACGGTGCCCAATTAAATATTAATATTATTTCATGATGAATGACATCATTTTATTGAAAAATTGGTCAATAATAATAACACTAACACTATATATATATCAATAAATAGTTTTTTTTTTTGTTTCTTGAAAAGTAAATTGTATAAAATTTCCTGACTGATAAATGATCTGCTAATTAACAGCATCTATCTATCTGAAAATCATTTTTGATTGTGTATCATTAATATTTTAGTTGCCCAATTCATTAAAAAAAAAATGGATTCAGAACCAATAACTCCAACAAGTTCTCTGGCAAGTAATAGTATTAGATATAGTCTTGCAACAGAACTAGTTTATGCAGATAATGGCAATAATAGTAATAATAATACTGAAGAAAAAAGTGTAAGAGATCTTTATAATGCTTCTTCTATGCCAATTTATCAAACTGCTACCTTTAAACAAACATCTACAACACAAATGGGTGAATTTGATTATACTCGTAGTGGTAATCCAACACGCACACATTTAGGTGAGAGAGAAAGAGTTTTAAATTATATATAATATAAATTTTAAAAATTTATATACACAATGACAATAAATTTCTTTTTTTTTTTCATTTGTAAATTTCTAATTTATTATGATATATTTATTTATTTTATTGTAGAAAATCATCTTGCAAAAATCATGTCAGCAAAAAGAGCATTTGTAGTAAGTAGTGGTATGAGTGCGTTAGACGTTATTTCTCGTTTAGTCAAAGCTGGCGAGGAAATTATTGCAGGAGATGATATATATGGGGGTAATTATTATTATTATGTCATCATCATCATCATTAAAAGAATTCACACTCATTTTGCATTACTTCCTCAATATCTATCTACTTAGGTACAAATCGTCTCTTGGTATTTCTTCATAAACATTATGACATTAAAACTCATCATGTTGATACAACAAATACGGATTCTATTTTACCATATTTGCATCCAACAAAGACCCGACTTATTCTTTTAGAATCACCTACAAATCCATTACTTAAAATATCTGACATACCAAGAATTGCTTCAATTGTACATGAACGTTGTCCGAATGCTCTAATAGTAGTAGATAACACTATGATGTCCCCGTATCTTCAACGACCCTTAGAATTTGACGCCGATATTGTAATACATTCCGGCACAAAATATCTCAGTGGTCATCATGATTTAATGGCTGGTGTAATTGGCGTTAAAGATGAAACTCTTGCTGAGGTATTATTAATAAATTAGATTGTTAGCAAAGTTGGAAAAATGATTTAATTATTTTTATTTTTAGAATTAGATCAAGTGTCTAAATTTTATTATTATAGAAAATAATTAATGATTCTTTAATGAAATTTTCTAGAAAATATACTTCACCATTAATGCAACTGGGTGTGGTTTAGCACCTTTTGATTCATGGCTATTGTTACGTGGTATCAAGACATTGGCGGTTCGTATGGAGAAACAACAATCAAACGCCATACAAATAGCAAATTTTCTCGAGTATAAAGGATTCAAAGTCAAATATCCTGGGCTGAGATCACATCAACAATTCGATCTACACCACACAATGGCTACCGGTCCAGGTGCTGTGTTAAGTTTTTTAACTGGAGATGTAAAAACTAGCGAACAAATCGTCGAGTCTACAAAGTTGTGGGCTATTAGCGTTAGTTTTGGATGTGTAAATTCATTGATAAGGTAATTTTTATCATAATTATTTATTTAGTCTTTAAACGATTAATGTTATTGAATTTATAATAATAATTTATTGTCGCTGTTGATGATTTTTTAGTATGCCATGTAGAATGTCACATGCAAGCATTCCTGCAGCTGTAAGACAGGAAAGAGGTTTTCCGGAAGATTTAATTCGTCTATGTGTTGGCATTGAGGTATTTGTTTTATCAAATCTTTTTTCAATCAATTGAAATCATTCTCTCTCCACCTTCTAAAATATATATTATATATGTTTATATAGGATGTGAATGATTTAATTGAAGATTTATATAATGCGTTAGTTATAGCCAAAGCAGTTGATGTAGTAATATCAGAAAGTGGGATTGTAAATTATAACCATAACAATAATACATTTTTAAAAAATGAAGAAGATGAAACAATAGATTTAAATAAATAACCCCCTCCCCCCTCTTTGAATAATGCATAGATTAATATATTTTAATTATATAGAAATTATAAAATAAACAATAATTAATTTATTATCAATTTTGGATGAATGGTTTTTCATCATAATTTGACTTGAATAAATTTTTAATTCTTTTGGAATTAGGGTCTCAGCGTTCATGCATTTATTTATTAATATTAAAATGAGAATTTTTTTTTGGAATGTAATTATTTTACGTTCTAAATATAGTTGTGGTGCACATAATAATAATGGTAACAATCAGTTTCTTTTCTAAAAAATAACACATATTTTACTCTAAATGGCCAATAGTTTTTCATCCTTAGAAAATATCAACTTACTTTTTAACAATCTTATAAATTTTAATAAAGATGCATTGCCGTTAAATCATATAAGCAAACTTGTAAATGATTTAGCAAAATTATTAAATGAACCAGATTATTATGATATAGAAATTAGGGTTGGAGCAGAAAACGACAATGTTAAAACCTTTAAAGCTCATTCTAACATTTTAAGAGCAAGGTCTTCATATTTCAAAGTGGCCTTATCAGATAATTGGATAAAAAAATCGAAAGACGGTATTATTTTGTTTGAAAAAGAAAGCATACCTCCAAAAGTGTTCGAAGTTCTTTTGACGTAAGGATTAAAATTCAAGTAATAACTGACTGATTGAGATAATTTTCTTTAAAATATCACTTTAATTTATTATATTTTATTTCTTGCATTGAAAAGATATATTTACTATGGAATCATTAATGTAAATACTCTGAGCCCAGATGAAGTTTTTGAACTTCTTAAGGCTTGTGACGAATTAGGTTTTAACGAGTTAATCATAGATTTACAAAACTATTTAATTATAAAAGGAAAAGAATGGATTCATCAAAATTTGATTTCTATTCATGACATCTCATTCAAATATCAATCATTTAGTTTACTTCAAGTTCATTGCAAAGAATTGTTTAACGAAAGTCCAGATTTAATTTTAAATTCAAATGATTTTAAATACATTGAGAGATCAATTCTTATTTCTTTATTGAAAAGAGAAGATATAGATTTGAAGGAAATTGACATCTGGGATCGTGTTATTCGATGGGGTATTGGACAAATTGAAAATTTAGAGGAAGAAGATATTTTAGAATGGGACAATGAGAGCTTGATCGAGTTGAAGAATTCGTTAAAAGATATTCTTCCATTGATAAGGTTTAATGTAATTCCCTTGAGTGATTTTCATGAAAAAATCAAGCCTTTTGAAAAGTGTTTTGACGAGAAATTTTATAAATTATTACTTCAATGTTATAATAATGAATGGAAAAAGGCACTGCCAATATTATATCCACAAAGGAAAGGTCCGAGAAAAGGAAAATTATTAAATTTGGAAATTAAATGCATGGTTTCCAGTTGGATTGACAGCAATCTTAACATGTACGATATAGATAATGTACCCTATGATTTCGAATTAATTATTCAAGGAACAAAAGATGGATTTTCTAGATCTGCTTTTGAAGAGAAATGTTATAACAAAAAGGAAACTGTGACCATTATGGAACTTAAAGAAACGGGTGAATTGGTTGGTGGCTATAACCCATTAGATTGGAATTTCAGAAGATGGTCTTTAAGTGATTATTATCAAACAGATAAAGGTTTTATTTTTAAGATTGACCCAAATCAAATAAGCAATTCAATACTAAGTAGGGCCAATGATCCTGGTCTTACAACATATCAAAATAGCAAGAATGTCTACTTTACAGTAGGTAACATAAAGTTCCATGAAAGATTGATTAATTTTAATGATTTACAATTAAACATTATCAATAATCAACCATATTGTGTTTATTCTAATCATCTTGATTCTTCTTTCAAAAAGAATTTTAAGCTTGAGAACCAACACAAAATAGCTCATTTGATAGTAGAATATGAAATATATAAATTAGTAAAGAAAACCAATGATAAATATAGCACACATGTGTCGTTTAAAAACATTCAGATTTAATTGAAGTTTCAGTAACTAACTTTTCCAAGATCTGACCTTGAATCTCCTGATACAATACCATAAATAAATATATTTATTTATTGATTGAAGATTTATCTCCTTGCCTCCGAAATTTCCAATATTTCACCATAATTATATATAATGTTGTTATTAATTGTAACAAATAATTATAATTAATTATAAAATATCATGTATTTGTCCCTAATTTAATTGTTTTTTTCTTTTTCCAAAAATCGAGTGATTTTAATACGTGTTTATATATGGGACATACTCTAACCAGACCAAGTGAACATAATCAATAATGATAACACAATATCAGTTTTTAAGAGACACTACCCAAACTTTTTAATCAGTGGTTATAAATTAGGTAAGTGCTGGATTGTTTCAAATGCTCTTTGTTGAATGGTCACCTAACTAACATCTTTTTCTTTGCCAGATTCTTTACTCTTTCACCAATTCTCTTAGTGTAAGAATTTGTTTTGTATGTAAATTTTTCTTTTTTGAGAGGCAATTTCTTCAATTTCTTCAATATTTATTATTCTTGTACAAGCCAAAGTTTTTTTTAGAAAAACAATTGATTAAAAATCTAAGGTGAGGAAGAGAACCGGATAAGAACTTATCAATAAACAGAAGTAATATTTGGTATATATGGTTCCGAAGATGATATGTTGTTTACTAATGACCGGAAATTTATGATTTTTTAACTAAGCATAATCAGAACGTGGAGCAAAACTTATTGTCATGTCGTCTACATTATATGATGATAGGTGATTATGCAAGATTATTTACCATGACGATAACAAACAAATGATTAGTATGTTTGTTTTGCGTAATCGTTATTAATGTAAACAATTATAAGAAATTGAAACCTCTCTCTCTTTCTCAAAATGGACAACTCGATATGCAACGTTTGATTATTGGATGGAGATTTACAGATGCTAAAGTGTATTATCACTTCAAGCCCGATATTTAAACTATTGCAATTATTCTCATCTTCCTCGTGTACATAATTCTAATCTGACCTGGTCCTCCAATGCTACAACGACGCAATTAAATATTCAAGGGGAGTGCGTGCGTGGGCCCTGAAGTTGCATGGAATTGCATCATTGTCAAGAAAACGGTTAAAGCTTTTCATTTGCCCAAAGTCTTCCAACATAGAGGTGGACCCACCTGTAGAGAAAATTCCATGATTATGGGGCGTGCGAGAGCACAGACCAACGTGTTTGTGATAGAAAGTTTATTAAATCTGACACCTGTGATCAATATCAAAGGTTGAAAAGCTTTTATTTTTGGGGGAACTCTACAACATTGAAGGAGAATTCCAAAGCAATTAAAAGAAAATAGCTCGCTATCTAAAAATGAAATTCTGTCAAGAAAGCAAGAACAAGCTGGAAAGGAAGAAATTAAGCCTTTATTGAATTTATATTTTTGACTAGAAATGTCTTATATGGAAGTTATTGAGTAATTAGAAAGTTAACAACAAATCACATTATCGAACATAAAAATTGACATTTACTTTTTATCCTTAAAAAATATAAATTCATTGATAAACTTGTGAATAATTTAACAAATTTATTAAATCAAACAGATTATTATGATGTAGTGATTAAAATTGGAGAAATATTAAAACTTTTAAATCTTATTCTAACATTATTTTTTTAAAAGTATTGAAATACTTTCTTAATTATTAATTAATTTAATTGTACATTTTTATTTTACAATGAAATTATATTAGTATTAGATAATCTTGATCCAGATGAAATTCTTAAACATGTGACGAATTAAATTTTGATGGATTGATTGAGGATTTGTTTACACATTCATAGAATTTCATCTAAATATCAATCTTCAAACTTACTTCAAAAATTATTAGTTGTTGAAAATGCTGTATCATTTTTAAAATCTGACAATATCACGGCAATGGAAAAATCAATATTCACAACTATATTGAAAAATGATATCTTGAAGCTGATGTTTGGAATTGCATTATTCATCAGGGAAATAGGGGGCAAAATGATAAATTGGATAAAAATATTTCAGAGCGGAATAAAAATAATTTTAAAGAATTGGAAAACGTACTGGAAGAAATGTTATAACATTGAACAAACAGTTATTATCATGAAAAGTAAAGAAACAGAAGAATCAGTTTGTGGATATAATCCTGTTTGTTGGAATGTAAAAGGAATCTTCAAATAAAAATTGATATTAAAACAGATAAAAAGTTTTGCAATACAACATTTTGCAACCGAAAATGATTAATTGATAACAGCATTAATAATGAATCTTTGTTATTATTGTTATTATGAAACTTTAAAAATGAAGATTTTTTTTGTATATATTATGATATATTTATCACGTGGATTATTCTAATGTTTCACAAAAAACTGTATTTTTTTTTTCTTTTTCCATTAAAAAAAAATTGGTTTTATTGATAATTTAATTTAATTAAAATAACAACAGCAACAACAACAATAATAACAGCAATAATAAAAAATGTCTTTAAGTGCTACAAGAGAAAGACGTGCAAATGCTGGCAGTCGGTAATAAATTACTCGAAGGGAGTTTTTATTTGTTAATGTAATAATGTTTATTAAAACCTGTGTTGAAATTTAGGTATCAATTTCAAAGAAAGGATATTGAAATGGAAATTGATAGTGAATATGGGGATACATTTAAAGAAATTTCAGATGATGAAGAATTTATGGATTCAAGTATATATTAATTTATATAAATATATACAAATAAATATAATATATATAAATTAATGGACTTTATCTTATGGAATAAAATTTTTTTTATATAGATGACGATGAAGATACTGTTGATTCTGATTTCCATACAGAGGATGAAGATGATGATGACTATGGTGATGACAATGGAGAGGCTGAAAAATTGATCCTATTAGAAGAAAAACGTGAAGAAAAAGAAAAGAGGGTAATTAATTATTCGATAAATATGAATTGATGAACTAATGAATAATTGTTCATTTAATTTGTAATAATAATAATAATAATAATAATAATTGTAATAATAATTATTATTATTATTGTTATATTATTATTAATTTTGTAGAAAAAAGCAAAGAAGGCTCTTAATTTACCACCTTTATCAATAAATCTTCGTAAAAGAAAAACAGATCAATTGTCCAATGATGATATTTGCAACAATTCTGTAAAATCATCATCTTCTCAAAAGAAAGGTTCTACTCAATCAAAAAGAAGAAATACTAAATCGATTAGTAATAATAACTTAGAAGATGATAATATACAACAATTAGGTATGTAAATCAATTAACAAGTTAATTAATAAATCAACTAATGAGTTAATTACCAAGTTATTATTAAATCATTTTTATCAAATCATTTTTCTCATTAGCTCCAATTGTACCAATTTTATCTGGTATTAGGTCATCATCTAGATCACATACATTGCAAAGTAAACAACTATTAGCTGAAAAATTAAAAGAATATGAAGAAAAAAAAGTATTTTAAAGCTTCTATTTTATTTTTTATTTGACTCGCGATAATAATAATAATTGTTTTTAATTGTTTAAAAGCTATTATATCCAAAACGAGAAAAAATAATAACAGAAGTATTAACGCAAGAAGAACTTCTTGCAGAAGCAAAAGAAACCGAAGCATTGAATTTGGCATCACTCAAAGAATTTGAATTAAGAGAAAATGAAATAAAAGATTCCGTTAGACGAAACAATAGACTGTTTCTTGAAAATCAACCAAGGGTCATTGAATATTCTTTTATAAAAGAAATAAATCAACCTACCGATAACACCATTACTAATACTATTAATAATAGTAACATTAATGATGATGATAATAATGACAATAATGATAATAATGGCAATAATGGCAATAATGGCAATAATGACAATAATGACAATAATGATAATGATAATGATAATAATAGTTTGCAAAAACCATCACCATATCCAAAATTGATAATAGAAATCTCAAATGATGACAACAACATCAATTATAACAACAACAATGATAACAATAATAGACCCGGCGACAACAATAATAACGAAAATCCAGATTTTGACGATATTACAACAATAACTTCGTCAACAACTACAACTACTGCTACAACACCAGCTGCAACGCCTATCACTGCTTCGTTCAGCAACAGCAATAACAACAATAATAAAGAATTAATAAGTAGCAATGTTATTAATAACAATATTATTATTTTGGATGATGATTGCATTGACGATAGTAATAACAATAATGCCAGTATTAGTGGTAATAGTAGTGACACAATTGATAATCAACAACCAATTCAAGATAATCGAATATTTAAAAAAGTAGTAATCTTTAAAAATCTTCCACATGCTCAGGAATCTGAATTATTTCGAGATTGGAGGAAAAAACCTCAAAGTAATTTATTTAATGAATAAACCAATTATTTATTATTTATTTGTCATTTTTAATAATAGATCTTTTTATTTTTTTTTTTAGAGGCAAAAAAAATAATTTGCCCATTTACAGGGCTTCCAGCCAAATACAAAGATCCAAAATCTGGCATACCATATGCAAATATGGAAGCTTATTCCAGAATTCAAAAATTAATGAACCATCAATATATTTGGTATGGTAAAGGTTGTGTTTATTTGAATGGCCCTGATCAACCCCCTGCTAAAGGTGTCCCCGACAAATTTGGCAAATAGTTTTTTTGGCATTTTCTCTAGGAATTTAACGATGCGTTTATTTGAAAAAAAAAACCAAATTTTATAGCGCTATAATGATTTATTATTTGATTGATTGATTTTTTTTTTTTTTTTTTTATTTAAACAACAAATTAAATTTATTTTTACGAGGCTATCTATTCCTTTGAAATAATTAAAATAAAATATATTGAGCAACAATATCTATGAAGTTTAAATACATCATAGATTGTTGACTGATCCGGATATTATTACCTAGGGAGCAAGAAATCAGAATCAGCATTAGATCTATTTCTATGTATTTTAATATAGACTGCGTAACTTTGAATTGTTATTTATTTTTAAAATTAATGTTATCCATATTTTGTCATAGTAGAAAATTATTAGAAATTGTGAAATTTATGTCAAATGAAAATTGGAATGTGTATAATTTACCAGCTGCAAGGCTTACAATGAAGAAATTTGAAATAGAGATTGTAAGTAATCTTTATATAATGTTTTGTCTGTTTAGAATCTGGATAAGGTTAAAATTAGAATTTTTTAATGTGGTAATACCTTCTGGAAGTTCCATTTTAAATGAGAATAATAAGTCTTGGTATAAATTATTTTCAAGCAATTGAATATGATTGGAGTAAGGAATACTTTAGAAAAGGCTGATTCGGCTAATTTGTCAACTATATTAATATCATAATTTATTTCCTGTATGCATTTTACTGTATAAAAGATAGTTTTCTCAAGTATCTGTAATAATAATAAATCGATATTGAACGGTGTGGACACAAGTTATAAAACAGTCTTGCTAAAGACTGTTTGACGTTTTCATTTTTTAATTGAGTCCAGGACAAGAAAATTTAATTCCAAATTTTGATAGAGAGCCTTCTGTAAAGAGGAGATGGCATATGTATGGTGCGTTTTGCAAAGGGCTTGATATAAATAAATATCTGAAACATTCATAGTAACGTATATAGTGTATGTTTTACAAAAATTTATTAATTTACGATCGTTTATCAAGCAAGTCTAAAAACATTATACCAATCAACTCGAGCATTAGTAATCAGAAAAGTATGATTTAGCATTAGTTTCTTTTGGCCAATATATGGCAATCGAATGTATCAATGCCCGTGATTGTCATATATCATTTGTTGGAAGTCTCGGGTCAGTAAAATAAACAATTTTCGCCAATTTGATTTATTGTTTAATTCTAAGATCTTTCTGGCCCGTCCATTCAGTTTTGTTGGATGGCGATCATTCGAGCATATTTAAACGAAAGAACCTCAAGCATGCTACATATGAAGTACCCTCTCGACCCAAGTTGTTTCGTGGCAATGGTCGAAGATTGAGTGCAGATTTTGAAAATGGGTGCATGGCGTTATTAGGATGCTCCTGGTCCATTTCATCATCCATATTTCTATAACGTCTAACGTGACGAGATCACCATTTCAATTATGGCCACCCAATCGTATTTCGAGCATGTGACCAAACTTTTTTGCCCAGGTGTATCTGTAATAATAATATAAAATATGCGTATTAATTTAATTGAAAAAACTAATTTACACATTAACATTTCTTTATTAAATAAAAATTAATTAATTTACATAATGCTTCTTTATTAAATTAAATAAATAAATAAATAAAAAAGATCGAGCATACATTAGAAATAAGATAAAATAATTCTTTTAATTTTTAATTATATATAAATTGTATATAAAATTTTATTTCACCATCCTCTTTCAGCCAAAAGTTGATGCGTCGGTATTGTTTCAATATTAATGCCAACCTTAATAATTTTTTGAAAATGTTTTTTTAATAGATGAAACAAATTAAAAACGATCGTATCATCTTAAATTTGAAAAAAATAACATACCATAGGTTCACCTAAATCTTCAGATACATTTGCTAATACTTTTGGATCATTGTAATAAGTTACAGCCTGAACTATGGCTTTAGCTCTTTTTGCTGGGTTGCCAGATTTAAATATTCCAGAACCAACAAACACACCATCACACCCAAGTTGCATCATCATTGCTGCATCTGCGGGTCTGTTTGTAGATAATTTTTTTAAAAGTAAATAAAATAAAGTTAAAATCTTTAAGAATAGTCAATGTTAAAATGATATATTGTATTATCAAAAAATTACGTTGCCAAACCCCCGGCAGAGAAATTCACTACTGGAAGTCTTTTCAATTCAGCAGTCTCTTTTAATAAATTATAAGGTGCCTGTATTTCTTTAGCATAACAATATAATTCTTCGTCATTCATAGCTGAAGCTTTTCTAATTTCACTTGTAATAGTTCTCATATGTTTTACAGCTTCTACCACATTTCCTGTGCCTGCTTCACCTTTGGTACGTATCATTGCAGCACCTTCAGTAATTCTTCGAAGTGCTTCACCTAAATTCTTAGCCCCACATACAAATGGAACTTTGAAATTATTTTTATTTATGTGATGTTGTTCATCAGCTGGTGTAAGTACTTCAGATTCATCAATATAATCAACGTTAATTTCTTCTAAAATCTTTATTGTTGTTGACGATAAATATATACGCAATAAAATCAATATATATATGTACATAATGACATGAAAAATAACAATCGGAAAAAATAAAAATATTATGTTCGATTTTACCTGAGCTTCTACAAAATGTCCAATTCTTACTTTAGCCATTACTGGAATTGTGACTGCTGCTTTTATCTCTTTTATCATTTTTGGATCAGACATTCTAGCAACGCCACCTAATAATATTATTAATGAAATTTTACTAGATTACAACAATGTTGATTTCTGAATTTATATATATATATATTTATTTATTTAAAAAAATATTTTTTAAACCTTGTTTTCTAATATCAGCTGGTACACGTTCTAAAGCCATAACAGCTACTGCGCCAGCTTCTTCGGCGATTCTTGCTTGTTCAACGTTCACAACATCCATAATTACTCCTCCCTTTAATATTAATTAATGATAATTAAGTAATTTTTTAAAAAAAATTTTTTTGATCAGAAAAAATAAAATTAATAAAAACAAACCTTCAGCATTTGAGCAAGACCTGTTTTAACTTTGAAGTTGGCTTGAACAGATGAATGATTATTGATTGTCAATCCATTTGTAACTGTTTTTTGATTAGCAGTCAAATTTGATGGTGTGATAAATTTTGTAGACATTTTTTTTTCTAAAAAAAAATTCAAAGGTGGGTTTAAAAAGGGGAATTTTATAAAAAATTTTTTTTGATGATCTCGATTGTATTTATAATCGTAGAAATTTTATACTAATTTTTGTACTAGAAATTTTATTGGGTAGATACTTTTCATTATTTGGATGTATGGAATAAGGAACCTGCCAACTACTAATAGTAATAATAATAATAATAATAATAACAATAACAATGAATTTCGATTTAGCGGATCTTGATTTAGCAGATGCCTTATACTAATTACTAATACTAACCAAATACTAATAAAAGTTACTATCAATAGTAATAGTGAATTCGCTATCAGGAAACACAAAGTCGCACAAATTTTACTGTTGTAAAAAGTCATAATGACCAAAGTTAAGTTTAATATATTAATATTAACATATACTAACATTAAAAATTTTGAGACTGTACTGTAACGGAATAAATTATACCATTGATAAAAGGACCGGGAAAACTCTATTGTATTTTACCGCCAAATTAAATGACAAATCATATTAATATTAATATTAATATTAATGCGAATCTTAGTTTTTATAATTATGCGAATCGATTTTCCGATGTTGTTGTTGTTTGAAACTTTAAAAGCAAATAACTCAAAATTTTATTATGCGAAGTGGATATAGTTTCTAAGCCAGAAATGTTCTACATAAGAAATTACATATAAGGGGTATTTAAATCAAAATTTCTTTCTAAAAACAAACCATATTAGTCGCGGGACATTGCAGATCAAGTGTCATTCAATATAAACGTTACACGAATAAAATTATTATCGTCCACTTCAAAAAAAAAATCTCCGTTTTTCATGTAGCAAGCGATTTTCAACCATAATAAATTTTTTAGAGCCAGTCTGGGACTTTTAACAACAGTTAAAAGAAAAGACTAGCTTAAATATTGGTCATTCTACGCCAGGTTGAAAGCGTTTCTTTTCTTCACACTTATTTTAAGATTATCGCTCAACTAGTATGCAGACTAAAGCAAATTCAGCAGCAA